ATATTAGCATGGCAAAGAAAGCCAGCGGCAGATAGATAATTGAGTCAAGCGAACAGTTGGTACCGTAAGTGTGTGAATCACTGTGATTTATAGCGTGTGTTATAAAAGTTGTTAAGTTTAGAGTGACGAGGGAAATTCTGTGTATTCCAACTTTGTATCGAGAAAGAATAAACTAGTATTAATCAAGAAAGGACTTGTATTGCTGAAGTTTCTCGGAAATAATTTATACCGAAAATTAACAAACAAGCAGATACGCAACAGTATCGTTAAATTCAATTTCATTATTTATAGGCTTGTAAGTTACAAAATTTGAATCATCCACTAAGCTCTCGGAAATATTCATCACAAACTGAGTAAATCTTTCAACTTACCATACAGTTTAGGACAGTCCATGGAGAATAATGGTCCTTCACAACCAGTTTGCTAGTCTGTGAGATTTCACAAAACAAACAACTAAAAAGAGCTGACAGAACATTCATATGTAAATCGTAAAGATTTTTCACTATATTTGCATTTTAGAGGTCTGTAACAGTTTAGGGAGGCATTGAACCATTCCTTGGTGTCAAAAAAGTTAAGAAATGCTGATCTAGGAGGATGTACTAGTGATTTCCAAAGAAAAATCTTGAGAATCTCTTAATGTTATAAAACTTGGATGTTTTTATTAATATAGATCCAAAATTAATTTTAAAAGATTTGATGGACATTTTGCAGCCTCAAATTTATGTATTTAAATGAAGTGGGGAGATACTAGGAGGAACTCTTTAGCTATCATATGTAAGACATGCATATTAGGTTTATTCCACTGTAAGCAGGTAACAAAGTTATTTCACTAACATGAGCTTTACTGTAATATTTGAGTCATTATAGTAATGAGTGATCTATTTCCAGGCTAGAGTCATGGAACTTGGGGTGGACACACCTCTCACCTGATTGTATTCAACTGCTGGTTCATTCTTTACCTCATTCCATTTCTCACTTGAACCTCAGTGGCTGTCGACAGAGGCTTGTCAATGAAGGTACATAGAATACACTGTTTAGAATCTGGCATCACTAATGGAATCAATCTAGAAGTTATAATTTGATATTTTTGTTGAATGTAGCACTAGTGTTAAACTACTGTCATAAATATATTTTGTGAGCTTGTAGTATTGTTTCATTTTTTCTTAACAATCTTCTCCAAACATTTTAGTTTTTAGCTGACTGTTTCTTTATGTTGGTTCAAGTTTATTTATAGAGTGCTATAATATACACAATATAAAAACATTTATAGTTTTTTTTTATTAACAAAAGTAAGATAAATGTTTGTGTAGATGAATGCATTGTTATTGTTTGATTTTGTCAATTTAACAACAGATATTGCTACACTGGTCCACCAATGTTGCAGACTTCAAACTTTAGATATCAGTGATGCCACATTCCTAACGAATGAAGCTTTAGATGAAATAATCAAGCTAGAATACCTGGAACATCTTCATGTTAGTCGATGTTACAGTATTTCTCCTGCTCATTATCTGTAAGTAATGCTAGCTGCATGTCAGTCGCATACATTTGTAAAAAAAGGTAATGGGCTTGTTTCAAGAACTTTATGAAACTGTACTTAAGGTTTAAAAGAACAACTGATCTTTTTTTTTCTGTGTTTTTAATCTCAGTCTATACCAATTTTAAGTTTATTTGAATATTCCTAACCATTGTTCTACCTTGAGTGATGAGAGCTGATGAAGCTCAAAACTTAAGTTTTCATGTGATTGTATTAATTTTTACATGTAATATTTTACATATAAAAATTCTAACAGTTTAAAGAAATGGATGATATAAAAACAAAACTTGATTTTAAATTGATACACCTTTTGTTGCTGTAAATAATACTTGTGTATGACTTTTCAGTAATTTGGATGCTTTGACCAACACTTATAGACCTTTTCAGAAGTCGCAATATCTAATTTCTGATTTATTTTATTTCCATTTAGATCTTTAAAGAATATGTCATCTTTATGTCGCCTAGATGTGTTTGGTGTTTTGACAGACACAGCCATTCAGTCCTTGCGGGCCAATCTACCTCACATAGAAATTAACCGTCAACTATTTTCAATTATCGCAAGACCAACTACAGGCATTCGTCGCACTAGTATTTGGGAGTTACGTGTACGTGACTAATGAGTTAATTAAAATCTAATTTGTGAACTGGGTGCTTTAATAATTCATAGTGCAATTAAAAAGAGCTAGACTATATTTGGTAATTAAAATTTTTTAAACTTTTCTTCCCTTAAAAACATAGCAGCTGTTCATAAATCCTCCACTCCTCTTTCTACAAGATAATTATGAAAGTGATAAAAAAAATAGAAATGAGATAACATTTTTTCTAGCAATGACATTTGTTAGTTCTAGAATAAGATAAATTCTTGAGATACTGTCAGCCTGTTCAAATTCTCTTACAAGACAGTGACTTTGCTTGTATTTCTCAAACTTGAAAAGGTACCCTTTTCTGTGACTTGTTGGAACAGTCTACTAAACGAACATTGGTTTGTTTTCTCTGCATAAAACATTATTGGAGAATGAACTGTCATAATTTAAAAGTGTAAGTTTATATTTCTTGAATAAGGTGCCATTTTTTGACATTTGTTTAATCAATCTTGTTCTTAAGGTTTTTTAAAAAACCCTATACCATTGTAATTATTATCCATTAATTTTAATTTGAAGTTTCTAGAAATTGTAAGTCATAATTGTTACAGTATTATTGGGTTTGCAGCAAAATTGTAAGAAAAGCTAATTGTAAATGTTTTTTCCTGAAATCATATTCTTTTTCTAGGAAACTTTGCAACTTGATGTATTCGTAATTAAATACAAAAAAATTAAAGTTAAGAATTACAGTTATGAACTCAAAACGATAATGGTATTTAAGAATGCAAAATTTAAGATAGATTTACTGTTTGTTATGTAGAATATAGTTTCTTGTTTTTTTTCTTCAGTGAAAGCACTCTCAAGATATTTGTTTTTATTAATTTGTATTCAAATCATATCACTCTAAATCATAACATTTCTACACTTTCAATTTATTTATGAATACCTCAAAAAACAGTTCATGAAAAAACTTTTTAAGTGTTTGTTGGGACTATGTACATTATTCATAATTGTGTGTGTGATGAAAAGTTTGATAAAATGTTGAATTATTAATGTAAGTTGATTTATTATTCTTTGGGAAAAGATCTGTTGTTTTCCATATTTGGTGTTTATAATAAAGAGTATATCTTTTTTGTGTTTTATTAGTTTTTACTTTCTTTTTAAAATGTTTGAGGACATTTAAGATCAAAAATTTTTCAACATATTGTACTGTTCACTATTTCATGTATGTTTAAAAATTGGTCCCTTCTATGTTAATGTGTCTGATACTTCGATTATTCCACATAAAATTTCATTACAAATATATTTGAGTGTAAAAACTTCAGTGCCAATTCTCAAATTTACAGTTTAATTGTCATACATGTCTGTATTTGTAATTTTTTCTTTTTTAATTGAATGTAGATCATTTTAGAGTAGATTTAAATTCCTTGCGTGAAGATTGTCTTTGAAACTTATATGAGACACAAGGTTTTAATCTGATGGTTCATGTGTCAGCTGTTTAGCAAATTATTTCAATTATGTGATTGTGAACTTTTTATGCATATTTATAAGTATATAAAAGTATGAAATGAGTGATTGATCATACGATAAACCAAGGTATTTGTGATGTTTTATTCTGTGTGGTTAATTGTTTTATTTTCTGTTGAATACACTTTTTCATAAATAACATCCTTTACAATAAAAATATAACAAATTTGATATTAACAAAACTAATGCCACTTTTTCTTAAGATGTGTTTATGTTACAAATAGATTACATATTAGCTTTTATTTAGTATGGACCATATAGTTCATGTGCTATGAAATAATTCAGTTAATAAAACTTACTTAATTGTTCAGAACATAAATTTATGTTTATTGTATAATTTATAAACTTTCATTTTCCTCCCTTGTTTTTGTTTTTTTAGTTAAACATGTTCCATGTTACTGAATATACTCTTAGTGCAGTAGCTAAAACGAAGAAAATGCAAGATAAAAATATATTACTTTGTATTGACTAGTAATAAAAGGAAATAAAAAATAATTGTAGTTAAGTAGTGAAGCTATATTTTTCAAGTTTAACACTATTCATAATATTGCCATAGGGGTAATTAATGCACAATGATCTCCAGTGTACAAATCTCATTCTCACTACGTATATAAATATATAGGACATAAATTCATTTACTTCCTGTAGATATTGTATATCACAGTAAATTCCAGATTTGTCGATGCAATAATCCATTTTGTTCTACATTTCAACATATATGTTTAAAATGACACATTTTAATATTCTGTATATATAATATTGTGTCAGAATAAATTAATATGCTGTTAAAAATCTTTACCCTATATCTGATTTTAGAAACTTGTATAAAAATTACACTGTACCAACTTTATCCACTTCAAATTGAAACAATGTTGTTCAAGCAATGTGACAATTAAAGTTTATAATATAGTATCTCAATCACTATTTTGTGGTATCATGACTGGCCTCATGAGCCCTGGTATTGGGCAAAGGGCCTCATCAACACTGGGTATAGTATGGTTAGAAATTATTATACACTTACTAACTTTTACTCCGAGGGTTCTCATTAATATATATATATATAAATGTAGTTATGTTTTGCAGTCAAATTTAAAGATAACAAGGCGAAAATTAACCAATCTATTGACTTGACTAACTTACACAAAGAAAATGAAGGAAAGATATGCTTCTGTAGAATCCTTTAGGCCTATGTTATTCTCTTCGACTATTTCTAGCCATACACAGGGTCATGGTTCGGTGGCCATATTGATCTAGTTTATTTTGACGAGTAAACAAACCAGCATGCGGCTTTTGACAAGAATGGCAAAGGTGCTTAAATACCCATTTGTATACCTTCAAATCACTTTATGTTAAACTATTCAAAAATTTTTGTAACTTTATGGAATCTTTATAATAACAGAACATTGAAGCCGATAATTACCAGTCACACTATATTATCACCCAAGTAATTATAGGCCTATTAGTCTTACATCAGTTGTAGGAAAAGTGATGAAAGATGCTTTGCAAAGTCATTCAACAAAGCTTAGAATATTATTGAATAGTCAATATGGTTTCACTAAGAGAAAATCTTGCCTTAGAAATCTTTTGACATTCTTTGAAAAGGTTATTGCTTGTGAAGATGAGGATAAGGGTGTAGTTTTGGTTTATCTGGATTTTCAAAAAGTATTAAGTATAATTTGGATGGAAATGATCTTAACATTGTCATGAAAAAAAAGGATCTTGATATAATGGTTAACCAGTCTCTTAAGCCATTCAAGCTGTTGCTAGTGGTATGGTAGATAGGATTTTATGTTGTATGTAATGTAAGGAGTCCAAGACTAAACACGATACTCCAAATGTGCCCTATTCAATGACCTGTAAAATGAAATTATAATCTATTTAGACTTTTATTCAAACATGAAATCCTACTTTCCCTACCACTAGCAACAACATACTGTTTGGATGGCTTAAGAGACTGATCAACCATTTCTGAGGGGTTTATTATTATACATTTATTGTAATATCGAAGCTTGTTTAAATTTAATTTATATTTAGAAATGTACATAACGTATACTGTTAAATATGTATTGCGAAACTCCTGCCTGTTCTCTAAAGTTATAGAAGATTCTCGAGTGTAAGAATCAACAATATGCGTGTGTGCGTAAACGCTATTGTTAGTGTCAGTATTGTTACGTAAAACTGAAATTTCGAGAACATCTACACACCTATAAATATAACCAACTTGACGCGCCAAAAAAGAGTATTTATTATTAGTGTGCTATAAACTTCGGAAATTATAACTGTGATTCTTATAACGCTTATCAATAGGAAAACTTCAGATATTTGACCAGGAACATTACAAATCACTTAACTTCAGTGGATTCTCATCGGACATTAGTATTTTTAAGAAAACATTACATAACTTCATGGTGGAAAACTCGGTGTGTGTGGCTGGTGAGTAACGAAGGACAAAGCTAGCTAGTTCCAGTTAAGTGAATTTTACCTACATCAACTCGCTCATGGTGAACCTTCGATAAGATATCAAAGAAATTTCAGACTAGAAAGAAGCCTCTATATTGCTTGTAACTTTGTGAAACTTTTGTTTATAAATCATTGTTTGTATTAATTATTCGTAATAACTGTTATTGTAAATTGTATTGTTGTTTGTATATTAAAACATATTTGTATTTAAAAAATAAAATTGTTAATCCAACTTGTTGGCAAATATCATAAACTGACTATATATATATCGGCTTTTACTTAACTGCTAAATCCAAAGCACAATTTAACTACTAAATTTAAAGTATCATTTAATTCAGTTTCCGACCATTAGAAATTGTAATACGTAACATAATAAATTGAGAGCAGTCCGGGATTTGAATCAGAGACAAAATTTGATCTAAATTCAAATTCAAATCATAATTCAATTTATATCTATCGGTGCCAACAAGATTTAATCATGCCTCATTATCAAGATTTTCTTGAATCATCCTCCCTCGAACAACTGGAAAAATATAGCAAAAATGAATTGCTCGAAATTGCCAAAATTTTAGAACTAGAAGTTAAAGGATCAATGAGAAAAAAAATGAACTAAAAAACGTATTATCAAAATACTAGTCGATGATGATTTATTGCCTGAGGAAGCATTAAGGGAATACTCTAGTGTCCCCACTCGCCAGTTGGGGTTGAGTGATAAAGATGGGCAAAAACAACTCAAGCTTGAACAAGCTCGTATTGAGGCCGAGAAAGAACAAACTCGTATTGAAGCTGAAAGAGAAAATAAACGTCTTGAGGTCGAACAAGCTCGTATGGAAGCTTAAAGAGAAAATAAATGTCTCGAAGCCGAAAAAGAAATTAAACTGGAAGAAACAAGATTACGACACTTATTATATACAACATTGTTTACTGACAAAAAAAGGGACATGGATAAACGTTTCGGAATTCTATCAGATTCCATCTTCAGTATCTAAAGCAGAATAAAATGAATTTACATCAGTCTTTATGCATTTTCAAAGTACAGTTGCTAAATATAACAATAATTAAACAAATAGAACACTAAACAGTAATCATGGGGAGAAACTACAGTAAGAAAATACAACGGAAAAAAAAGTAAAATCAATAATACGAACATATTAAAAAAATGTATAATTTAAATGAAGACTGCATATTGTTCAGAGTTGGAGAGTGCTGGTTGATGTGGAGGGTTTC